CACTATATGGTAGTTTTCCAATATGGGTCCATCGTGCTGTTCAATGTTTCTGACCATGAAGCAGATGGATACCTAAAAATTGTCGAGAGGCATGCTTCAGGGTTACTGCCAGAGATGAGGAAAGATGGTAAAACTCCTCAATATAAGAAAAGACTACTTATCTGATTTGATACAGTATAGCTCCTGAATCTTCATCTTCATCTGATAACTGTTACTGTTTTCTTCCACATATGAATGCTATGTTCTCCAATGACGAGATGTTTCATATTTAGTACTCCTACATAAACATTTGGCGATGCTCCTTGTTCACGTGAAAAGGTGATACAATGTTAACAGGCACGCACAGAAATATAGTCTAAAAATCTAGATGGTATTCACTAAGCAACAACGGGCAAGAAAATTTAGGTAGTTGTAAGTTTCCTTCGTAGAGATAACCGCTAGCAATTTCTGTAATAGTCGCAAAGATTACGAGTCGAACGACTAGTCTAGACTAGTCGCTCGACTAGTCTATGAGTCGCAAACTGGCTGTCGACTCGGTTTCTCGTGTAGACTACTTGTACGAGTCGAGCCAGTCATCGACTAGTCGACGACTAGTCCAGACTAGTCGACATGTTCGAGTCGAACGACTCAAAAAACTAGGGGAGTATAAATACGATGCCTCATCCCGCGGGAGACCTAATCCTTTCTTTCCCCTCCTCACCTGGACGCGCCGCCGGCTGCTGGACGCGCCCGTCGAGCCCTCCTCGTGCCGCCGGCCGCTGGACGCCCGCCGCCGCGGATCTGAAGCTCCACCGTTGCCGGCCCCACGTCGCGGATCTGAAGCTCCACCGTCGCCTTCGTCTCGCGCCCCTCCTCACGCTGCCGGCCCCTCGTGCTCTTCTCCTCTTCAGGCAGGTGAGCCTCAGTGCTGCTCTGCCTCGCTGCTGGACTGCTGGTGTTGCTCTGCCTTGCCCCTCCTTTCTCCTCCTCTTTCTTCTTGGCTTGCCGCTGCTGTTGCTCTGCTTCGCTGCTGGACTGCTGGTGCTGCTCTGCTTGCTGTTGGTGCTGCTCTGCTCGCAGATAGGCTGCTGGTGCTGCTGTGCTTTCTGCTAGTTGCTGGTGCTGCTCTGCCTCAGTGACTCCACTTTGCTTGTTTCAATTGTATACTGTACTTGTATACTTATATAGTGTAATACTACATACTACTACTAGGTATTATTAGTTATGTACTGTAAGTTCAGTGCTACAGTACGATGTCGACTAGTCTCGCACTAGTCTAGACTTGTCTAGACTAGTCTATGAGTCTCAACCTTGGAACGACTCGTCGACTCTTCGACTCGTAAACGTTGAATAGTCGATCTTTGTTTTCTGTTTTCACATGCAGACTGTACTCTTCTAATGACTATGACATTTCCTCTTAGTCGAAACTGCTAATGTAATTGTACAATCTTGTCTTACTTTGTGATAATCTATCTGGCCTTTAACTTTGTAAAAATGGTATCACAGTTTATTGCTGATTAATGGTGAGGGTTGCCTTTTCATTTCGGTCTTTTGCAAAAGCAAATAGCCTATTCTCTAGTTGGTAGTTGCCGCATTCCAAAAAAACTAAATAAATCCAACTGCATGATATGCATGTATGATTGTGATTACTGTTGTAGTAATCTAATCGTTAGTATTTTCTGAGGATTCAACCTTGAAACCTTAAACTGTAGATTACGCCGTTGTTGAGAGGCCTGCCATGGAGAAGTGGATGGAGGGTGGACTTGATTTTATTATACTTAAGGATCTGAGTATCGATGGTATTCGGACAATTGGAAGTGTACTTGGTCAGAGTATCGCTCTTGACTATTATATCCGGCAAGTATGTACTCGTTAGTTTCATACATATGGTTATGAAACTTTGAAATATCTATCTAAAAATCTTCACTGATAGGTGGATGGAATGGTTGCCGAGTTCACGGATATAAATCGTGGAATGGAGAAAACTGGTACCTTCACTATGGAGAGGAAAAAGCTTTTCCAGTTAGTCGGAAAGGCTAACTCTAACTTGGCAGATGTCATTCTTAAGCTTGGACTTTTTGAGAGGTAAGAATAGCATCATACTGAGAGCTAAGCATGTAAACTCAATATATGGCGCAGTGTGCTGTTTCCATTTCCTGAATTTGTGTTAGGATGTGACTGTTGGACTAATCTTTTATATAGTGCATTTTTTCGTTTAAATGGTAAATAGTTTCCAAGCTCTGGAATATAAACAAGCTACTTATTCTTTGTGCTGTCATCAACTAGTCAGTCGTGTTGTACATTTGTGTCCACAAAATCTTCTGCTTTATGCGATCATGTCTGAGATAAGTATTTTGCTTTGTTTACTGAATTTGTGTTAGGATGTGACTGTTGGACTAATCTTTTATATAGCGCATTTTTTCTCTAATTGGTAAATAGTTTCCAAACTCTGGGATATAACAAGCTAGATAATTTTGCTTCCATTTCCCATCTTAAATACCATGCTTTCTGGCATGTGTTTTGACCACCTCTTATTCTTTGTCCTGTCATCCACTAGTGAGTCATGTTGTACAGTTATGTCCACAAAATCTTCTGCTTTATGCGATCATATCTGAGACAAGTATTTTGCTTTGTTTCTACGTACTAGTTTATAAGTTATGTGTAATGCTGAGAGATGTCAAAAGCTGATGTATTACGATCGTACTTGCATTGTTGCATAATCATTGACAATTGTAACTCTCATATTACAGTCCAATTCAGGCAGTACTTTTGTTGTTGTTAAAAGGCTCGTTTGGCAGATAGCGAGAATCATGGGAAATAGTATTTGTTGGCTACTGGGGAATAGGTGTATCTCTTGTTACTTTTTTTTGGGTGGCTTATAATCACTTTAGATCCCAGCAATGTATGTATAATGAGACATCATGGTAATTCAAATATTTTATATGTCCGTTCGTCTTATTGCTCTGCAAGTGCAGGTGTGCTGTTTTTTTTCTTGTATAACAAAAAAATGATTTGCTGTTATGCAAAAAATATGCATACTAAAAATATATGAAAATGGTAAAAGCCAGAACATGTGTTGCCCTTGTAATTTCTGAAAGTTTATAAAATTGTAATAAGCTGAACAGATGTTGGCCTTGTAATTGCACCTTTCATCCCCCCATTCCCCACCCCCAGTTACAATAAAACTATTCGATGTCGCTAAAATGAACTCTACACTTGTGTATCTGCACACATTTACCTGCTTGTTGCATAGTCATTGTCAAATTTAAATCTCATATTATATTACAGTCCAAGTGCTACATGAATGAATGTCTGGTATTACGTTTTTGGTAAAAAAAATGTCGTTTGGAATGCCAGAATCATGGTAGAAAATTGTATTTATTTCCTGAATGGAAATAGGTGTGTTTTTAGTGTTTTCGTGATCTAACGCTCTTATATATTAGTTTACAGAGGGTGTACTTCTTAGTTGTTATCAGCTCAGTTTTATGCCAGCATTGCATTTTCTCAATTGGATTGACTTTTTCGCATTCTTCATTCAACTGTTTAAGTATGCAGACAAAGTCCATATCATAAAAAGTTCAGAAATTCTATACACCATGTTGGTCTTATGTCTCTGCAAGTACATCTGTGCTGAGAGCCCCTCTTTCTTTTTTAACACCAAAAATTGTGTGTTTGCTCTATATGCAAATCTGCGCATTGAAAATCAAAATTGTGAAAAGCTGAAGGGGTTGTGAAAAGCTGTGGGGTGCACGTTTACTTACATAACTTTGTCTTCTCCACCAGGTCAGACATTGCTTGGAAGAACGCAAACTATGCGCAGATCTGGGAGTTCCTCCGGGACGAGTACGAGCTAACCCAAAGATTCGGAAACCTTGATTTCAAGTTGAAATTTGTTGAGGTAAGGGCCATGGCACAGCAGCGCATGGGTTTCGTGTTGGCTTATCTGAAGATTTCTGACAGAGAATCCTGTAATTTTTTTTGGCTGCAGCACAACATCCGGTTCCTCCAGGAGATCCTCCAGAACAGGAAGTCGGACTTCCTGGAGTGGCTGATCATCATCCTCATCAGCGTGGAGATCTTGATATCCGTGTACAACATTGTCCAGGAGCAGATGTAGAGCGATAGCGTGAGACCAATACGTCGTTGTTGAGAGTGAGCGAGACCATCGTCAGAGCCACGAACGAACCACACTGTTTTGTCCGCGAGTTTTTTGGTTCCATTTCTTCCCCCCGGTAGAAGCCCCTGTAAAGAATTCGTAATTCGGACCATGAATGATCATGTACTCCCTCCTTTTGGAATTACTTGTCTTGGATATAGATGTATCTAAAACTAAAATACATCTAGATACATCCATTTCTGCGACAAGTAATTCTGAACGGAGGGAGTAGCTTTAGCGCACTTGCTTTGTCCGGACGGTGGTCGTGCTGCCGCTGTTGTCTGGCGCAAGTGTGAACTGCGGATGAGTCAGTGAGTGTGGCCGAGGTAGTAACTGGGCGGCGTGTGACTGGCACGCGATGGCGACGGCTCCTGTTGGCGTTCGTGGCTGGAACTTGAAAGGTAGGCGTGTGATTGATTGATCGGGCGATGTTGGCTTGACGGGGCGCGTGCAGGGCATAAGCCACGTTCACATTCTGACAACCGCCGGAACCTTTTTTCTATGGGAATGGGCTTGGAATTATACCATGGATCCAATCTGCCGGGGAATCGTTTGGTTTTTTTTCGGGGATTGTTGATTATATACTAAATAATAATGTACACTAACATTATACTACTCCCTCCGTTCTTAAATATTTGTCTTTCTAGACATTTCAAATGATTAACACATACGGATGTATGTAGACATATTTTAGAGTGTAGATTCATTCATTTTACTCCGTATGCAGTCACTTGTTAAAATGCCTAGAAAGACAAGTATTTAGGAACGGAGGAGGGAGTATTATTTACTAGTAAATCATATCCATTAGCCATTTAGCCACTTGCTCCCTTGATTAATCCGGCCGGACGGCGAGTGGGGCAGCCAGATGCATGCCTCGCCGGCCTGTCGTTGGCTCGTCGTCGCCCACTCCCTCCTCACCTCAGCCCCTAGCGAAAATAGCCAAGCGCTCTGGCTGACTGACCGGCCGACGTGGCCGGCCCAATCCTGGCCCACCACCTGGCGCCCCTCCCCGGCGGAATCTCCCGTGTTCACACTCCCGAATTACCCAAACACCCTCCTCCACCGGCGACCGCACGAGGGCAGAACCGTCCCTCGCAACTTCCAAGCACGCCCGTGCGACCCGTCCGCCCTCGTGGCCGCACGATCCCCAGATCCAGCGGCCGCGGTCGCCCTACCAGAAGCTTCCGGCCCGGTGTATATAAGCGCGAGAGGGCCAGTGGCCTCCATCGTCTTCACCCCCGCTCCTCCTCCCCCACCCCACGCACACCGCACGCGTTTGACATTTTCCGCCCACCACCACCGGAGGGAGCGAGCTCCAGCCATGGCCGCCAAGTGCTACCCGACGGTCAGCGACGAGTACCTGGCGGCGGTCGCCAAGGCCAAGCGCAAGCTCCGCGGCTTCATCGCCGAGAAGAACTGCGCGCCCCTCATGCTCCGCCTCGCGTAAGGAGTCCCCGCGATCCGCTCGATCCCCTTCCTCTCCCTCGTCTCGCGCCGATCTGATCTGACGGGCGCGCTCTCTGTCCTCCGCAGGTGGCACTCGGCCGGGACCTTCGACGTGGCCACCAAGACCGGCGGCCCCTTCGGCACCATGAAGTGCCCCGCGGAGCTCGCGCACGGCGCCAACGCCGGCCTCGACATCGCCGTCAGGCTGCTCGAGCCCATCAAGGAGCAGTTCCCCATCCTCTCCTACGCCGACTTCTACCAGGTGACGCGCCCTTCCCCGATCCGATCTCGCCCGCCCAGATCGCCGTGCTCCCGAATCGATTTGATCTGATTTTTGCCGTTTCTGCGGTGTTGCAGCTCGCTGGAGTCGTCGCCGTCGAGGTGACCGGCGGGCCTGAGGTCCCCTTCCACCCGGGGAGACAGGTGAGAACCATTTCTGCTCTCCCCCAACGGGCCATAAGATTTATCTAGGGGTTAAGCCTGTTTTGTTTAGTTTATCTGCGCTGCCTGAAGTGATGCACCATTTCTGTATCTTATCCTTGTGCGGGATGGTGGACCTGCCAACGTGTATTATTGACTTGAGTGACGACAGATGCAGTATTGTTTAGTCGGGTGGTTGGAATGGTTGGTCCAGAGAAAATTGTTTATAGATTAGTGATTTGGTGAAATCTGGTGCTTGATTATTGCTGTGATGGGTACATCCAAGACAGTTATTGCGGCTTCATGAGTGCGTTGTGTTTTTGTTCCATCCAATGTCTGATCCTGATCTGATCTGATATAGCCATAATTATGGAAAAGAAATGACATGGTATTCCATAAAATTCTAGTACATGTGTTGGTGTGCTAATGACAGTTCAGGGGAAATGGTGTTCTGATCAAGTAATGATGATTGAATCTATGTGTGGGGTTGCTGCTTTGGTGTGACCATGGTAGATTAAGAGGATTATGAAGCTAACAATCACAAAAACTTCTACCTAGATTGTATTTATATGCCATACAATTACAGATGTCATTTCTCTTTGTTCTATTTTAGCGTTCTAGCTCTACATAATTTTATGATGTTAGTTCGAATAAAACATTAACAACTGTTGTTATGCAATGTTATGGAAAGTATGTGTGTCCTCACATTCTCATAGGCTGTCTAAAATCTGTTTACATGGAAATAACTGAAGAGCAGTGTTCTAATTGGGTATTGTTTAGTGATTTTAGTGACGACAGATGTGGTATTGTTTAAGGACTTTAGTGACTTTAATTCAGTATTGTTTGTCCTCATATTCTCTTTATTGACTTTAGCGATGACAGATGCAGTGTTGTTTAGTTGGGTAGTTGGAATAGTTGGTCGAGACAAAATTGTTTATAGAATGGCGATTTGGTGAAATATCGGGCTTGTTTATTGCTGTGATGGATACATCCAAGACAATTATTGCGGCTTCGTGAGTGGGGTGTATTTTTGTTCCATTCAATGTCTGATCCTTAATCCATAACTATGAAAAAGAAATGTGTTGGTGTGCTGACTAGAGTTCAGGGGAAATGGTGTTCTTGTCCATTCACATTGTTTCTTAGGCAACATTGTATGCATATGTCTATAATCTAGATGCTTTGCACAGTTATCTACTTTGAAAACATCATTTAACTAATCAGAATTGTCCTCAAACTTGCCTCCCAATAGATATTAGGTCACCGTTTATCTTCATGTCTTTGGCTGAACTATGTGATCCTGGTTTGCTTTTTTTTATCTATATGGGATGGCTGTTGATTGGGAATAATATTTAACAGGGTATCTACATGAATGTTTATGCTTCCTGGCCTGTTGTGTGTGAATGAGTTAGAGCGTGTTTGTCCTTGTCTTCTCATAGTGCTGTCTAAAATCTGTTTACATGGAAATAGAATAGCAGTGGTTTTCTTTCCCCTGTATGTGTGTGTACGCACATGGTTTGTGGATGTTTATAGTGGGTTGACTTTGTTTGCAGGACAAGCCCGAGCCTCCTCCAGAAGGCCGTCTTCCTGATGCTACCCAAGGTACTATTGTGCAGCATCTTCTATATTAACACAACTACAGAACTTATATATTGATAAACATGGCTGATTGCATTATTATTATTTTTTGTACCAGTTATGCAATGGAATGTTTAGCATATCATCATTTAGGCATTTATTAATTCATAGTGGTATCAACTGTTAGTTTCACAAGAGGACACAATTAAATTCGTTAGAATTCCAGCATTTCTCTTAGTTTAGGTGTACCTACGGAATTCTCAAGTTTTATGTCTCGGTCTATGTGATGCACCCTGTCAATGCTGGACCATGCCTCTGCTTCTATAGTCAGGGTTAAACGGATTATGCTTGCCTGCTTGTTTTATCCTGTGAATTTACGGCGTGTGGATTGGTGGATTTGATTTTTTACCTGGCTGACATGGTGAACTTACTGTTGCATCAGGCTCTGACCACCTCAGGCAGGTGTTTTCCACTCAGATGGGTTTGAGTGACCAGGACATTGTTGCTCTTTCTGGTGGTCACACCCTGGTTAGTAGTCTAACTGCTCAAATTATCATGTTGGGCCATGCTTGTCTGTAGGCTTGATTGAAAGGTTGTGCTTACGCAGCTTTAATTGTCTGATGCAGGGAAGATGCCACAAGGAGAGATCCGGCTTTGAGGGAGCCTGGACCGCCAACCCTTTGATCTTCGACAACTCTTACTTCACGTATGTAATCTATGCATGCTTGTTTGCAAGAGTTGGAAGCTGTCTCTGTTATCTTTTTTTTTTTGCCATGTTGATATGCTGTTCTTGTTTCCTCGAACAAAAATTTTCTTCTGTTGACAGTGAGCTCCTTTGTGGGGAGAAGGAAGGCCTTCTTCAGTTGCCGACCGACAAGACCCTCCTGACTGACCCGGCCTTCCGCCCACTTGTGGACAAATATGCTGCGGTACATCCTCGATCCTTTGTAGCCTATTATGGGTTCTCACTGTGTTCATCTTTGGCTACCGTACCAATGTGATGTGTGTGATCTGAGAGGCCGGATGCTCATTGATTTTGCAGGATGAGGATGCTTTCTTTGCTGACTACGCTGAGGCACACCTCAAGCTATCCGAATTGGGGTAAGTGATGCGAGTATCATCGGTGCCCTTGATATGCACCATTGCAATGATAACTTTGCTTGTGCAAACATCCTCGGAGAGTAAATCCATGTGTGTCGATTGTTTTCCAGATTTGGCGAGGCTGTTGAGGGCTGCTGCTGATTCAAGCTCGGCGCCTGAAGGTCGTTAATGAAGAAGAAGAAGAAGATCATGAAGAAGAAGAGCAATAAGGATGTCATGTGTTTGTCCGGACTTGGATTAGATGGGTCGGTCGATGGGGTGTTGCATTGTTTTGCTTTGACGCCTCGTGTCTTGTGATGGGCGTGCTTGTAGTATGAACTGCCAAGTGTTATGTAGTTCCTTTCCGGTTGAATTGTTATTCCCTGTCGAGGACGAAACGGAGATTTGGTTGCCCTCATTTGGCCATTGAGCTCATGTCATTGTTTGTTTTACCAGCTTGTTGTCGTGCCTGTCCGCTAGTTCTTTCTCGCATTGTCGTCTATGGAGCTGCAAATTCTTCACGGATCTACACGCTAGAACAAAGGAATATAGCATTTACCGAGACATAAGCAAGTTTTGTATCATGGTTTGCTGTTTGCATTTTGTTTTTAATATAGTACAGACGCAAGCGCATTTGATGCGTAAATCTCTGTTCGAAAGTGCTGTGCACATGACGTGATCATGCACGATTTGCGGACGACGGGAGTAGGCATCTCTGTTTAGGCGCTACTGTTTAGGCCGTGCGTCGTGTACATACGTACCCCCTACTCCAGCTAGATATACTCATAACTCGCAAATATCTTTTGTTGATCTTGCATTTACATCGAGCTGCAAAAATGGAATTAATGATTCCCGAATCACCAAACACCAACCAATGGGAACGCCTGGAAAACCTCTCCCTCCCTCCACCCCGCCCCCCTCGTTTATAAGTTTAACAAGCCTCCGCCCGCCGTCACCAACCTCCGCAACTCGGTCCACCAATCCACCACCACCATACCCCCCGTACCGTACCACCAGTCCACCATGGCCGCCTCCTCCTCCTCCTCGCTCCGGATCCCCGCACCAACCCACCACCCCGCCGCGGGGGCGCGTCCGCGGCGGCTGCCCTTCCACGCCGTCTCCGTCCGCCCCCGCCGCTCCGCAGCCTCCGCCTCCTCCTCCTCGCAGCAGGCGCCGGCGCCGGGCGACGGCGACGACGCCGACGGGCCCACCGGCGTGCCCGTGCCCGTGCCCTTCTCCCGCGACTCCGCCATCGCGCTGCCTCGTGAGGCCGACATCATGTTTGTTTTCTGCTTCTCGCTGCGCTTCTGTATGTATGTAAGAGGTATGCTTGTCTGTGAATGCAGGGCCGCTGACGAGCGCGGATCTGACGGGGGAGGCCAGCGGGGAGGGCCTCAGGGTCGCGTACCAGGTCCGTTTTCTCTCCTCCTTCTCTCTTCTTCTGAGGAACACTGACGATAATGATGGCGGTGAATGGTTCTGACTACGATGCAACGCGACTCTGACCAACCAATCTCAGGGGTGCCCGGGCGCCTACAGCGAGGCCGCCGCCAAGAAGGCCTACCCGAGCTGCGAGACCGTGCCCTGCGAGTACTTCGAGACCGCCTTCCAGGTACCATCCCTCAACCGTCCATCAATCCACTCCACTGTCCCCTGATCCCCTCCAATCCACGACATGGTTTCGGGACATGTGTCATATATTGCAGTGCTGAAACCATCACAGTATGCACCGAATGATATATTGTGATCCAAAATTAGCACCAATTATTACCATAGGAACCAACACCAGGTTTTGTGCACGGTTTCAGCGAGCCGTTTTTGATTTGAGCACCCCTAGTTGATCCTGCCAGACATCGACCGTCAGATAGTGATGACCTCGTCTGTCTAACAGGCCGTTGAGAAGTGGGCGGCTGACCGTGCAGTGTTGCCGCTGGAGAATTCCTTGGGCGGCAGCATACATCGCAACTATGACCTCCTGCTTCGCCACCGGCTGCACATTGTGGGTGAGGTGCGGCTGGCGGTTCGTCATTGCCTGCTCGCGAACCGTGGCGTCAAGATTGAGAACCTGCGGAGTGCCATGAGCCACCCTCAGGTGAGTTGGACAGTTTTATCAATTCATCCCCAGCCCTGTTTGATTCACCTGTTTAAATGCTGTAATTGTTTTTTAGGCTCTTGCGCAGTGTGAGCAAACACTGACGCAGCTAGGAATTGAACACAGAGAAGCTGTCGATGATACAGCGGGTGCAGCCAAGGTAGGATGCTGTTTGATGGCATTATTTGGTTCACGAAATTGCTGTTCGCTTCTTTGTCTCTGTTAGCAGGAGTTTCGAACATCAAGTTAATTCTGTTGTCACTAATCAGAGTAATATGCGCCTTTTAGCAAATTGCAGAAGAAAATCTCCAAGACACCGCTGCTGTTGCCAGTTCATTGGCTGCTCAACTTTATGGACTGGACATTCTTGCAGAAAATATCCAGGTATAACTGGTTCATTCTAAATCTGTAAGAGACCATCTTCTGTTTTTATTCATGGGAACTGTAGCTCACCTCTTTATATAGGATGACGCAGATAATGTAACCCGTTTCATGATGCTGGCTCGGGAACCCATTATCCCTCGCACAGATAAGCCATTCAAGGTATGTGTTGCAGGGAATCTTCCTGCAATTTCCTTGTTCCCCTCTTTGCTGGTAAATGCTAATGAAATGTTGCTCTATAAATTGTATGGTCTCCAGACTAGCATAGTATTCTCTTTGGAAGAAGGACCTGGACAACTCTTCAAGGCGCTTGCTGTCTTTGCTCTGAGAAAAATTAACCTCACCAAGGTATTGTATCTTCAGCAACATCATGCTCTTAGTATTTTGTCAACACTCATGCGGGTTTGAAGCAAAACTGATCGGTGCTGCATCCTTTTTTGTATGGTCTGTAGATGGAAAGCCGTCCACACAAGAAAAAGCCTCTACGTGTAGCTGATGATAATTCCACCCCGCTGAAGTAAGAACAAATTTATTCATTTGAGTTCCATTTAACAATGCATGATTTGAGCTGCACGATAACTGTATTGTATATATGATAACATTTCTCAAAATTTTGTGCCAGGCACTTCGACTACCTTTTCTACGTAGATTTCGAGGCATCAATGGCTGATCCGAATGCACAAAATGCTCTGAGTAACTTAAAGGTGTGGTTTTATTTGTCGGTATGGTCCGGTGGTTAAGCGAGCGAGCGGTGTCTTATTTCATGTCTGTTTTTGTTTTTGCAGCAAGAGTTTGCCACCTTCCTAAGAGTTCTTGGGAGCTATCCTACCGATGTCACCGAAGCATGAGTGCCCGGCACCTGAGCAAACACAAATCATCCCTTGATGGTCGGTATTTGGCTCTGGAATAGAAGCAATTTTTTTCACCGGTCGCGGTGAAGAGATTCACCTGGCAGTTTTGAACTCCACAATTCAGTAAATCTTCCTGGGGGCTTCTTTGTTCTTTCCACGAGGACAGTAGTTCTCCAGATATTCTTTATTTTCCTGTGAATGTGAGAGGAACTCTCAACACATATATATCTTTTGCCTCAGAGCTCGTGAAATATCAGCTTTTATAATTTTAGGAGTACTTGCTGGAGAATAGTTTTGGTTGGTTTGTGTGTCTTGAATAGTGATGGTGATAGTTTAAAGTATCAAGCATTAAGTGTGATGTTTATGTTTGAGGCTGCAGTAATGCGTGTGTTATTTGCAAAGTTGATTGGTGGGTGGGTTAGCTAACATGTGTGGGCCGGACTGGGTTGTTGGCTACGACTGTGGTGATGCCATCAGATGGCCTTGTTACTGTTGCCATGGTAGCAGTCAGAAAATTGTGAGAAGCTACTTCAAAACATAGGTTGGCAGAAGATGTACCTTCCATCTTGTAAAATTCCACCTATAAATTCTATTCAGACTGAGAAAGGAACAAAAAAGAGATAATCCAGCTATGGATTCAAATTCTTCTATGAATTTTACTTTCAACCACTATTCACGGCTGAATTTTTCTTCTTCTGTGTCATGTTCTTTTCATGATTTCAACTACTTTTTTTTGCGAAATCATGATTTCAACTACTGATCATGTAATATTCTGTCTTAATAGTGACAATGATAGTTTGAACTCAAGCATCGTGTGTGATGTTATGATTGAGGCTGCAATAACGTGTGTATTGTTTGCATCATTGGCTGGTGGGGCTGGGTTGGCTAACATGTGGTATGCGTGTAGAGACAACGTGTGTTACTTTACCAAAAG